ATGCACATTACACCTACGCTGTTGCTAAGCTGTGTTTAAGGGGGGTGGCTTTAAAGTTCTGTGTAGTATGGAACTTGGTACCTTAAGAAGTGCCGCCTTCTGTATGTTCCTTCCTGCATAGTCTGTTCATCCTTTGAGATCTTGCTTAGGATCTTTGAAAGCACTGGCCAGCAATGACAACAAGCAGGGTCCTCTCTTTGGTAGTCTGTTTTTTGTGGTTGAGATTTGATGAGCCCATAACTTTGGTTTGCAGACTGGATCTGATCCATCCCTACACGTACTTTTTAGAGATCATCCGCTACAGCTGTACCCTTGATCCTCTGTATATTTTGATTGATTGATTGATGGAATTTATATACAGCTCATTTATTGACTACTACTTAAGGTGGTGTACAGAATAAACCATGAACCACTACAACAACACCCTTTCTTGTAACAACAAAATTAGTACAGTAATGCAACTAACTCAAGCACAGTTAATATATAAAGGAAAGCCTTGAAATTAATAATTAGCAGCATTTGGGGGATATATTTTTCAGGGCTGCTTTCTATAATTATGCCTTGAGTAATTTCCTGACTATCAGAAGGGAAGTAGCTTGGTGTGCTTCAACTAGCAATTTGTTCCACAGAGTGGGGGCCACCACTAAAAAAGCCTGGTTCTTTATTGTCATCTTATTAGCTTCCCTTGGTGAGGCCATCCTCCACACTGTTTATTGGGAGGATTGTGCAGTACTTGGAGTAGCATTTTATTCCCGTGAAGGCCACTTTCACCAGCAACACAGTGTGTAAACCCATGCCTAAATCTGGATATAGCGTATTTTTCTATGTATAAGATGATACTTTTGTCTAAAATCTGTAGACTAAAAATTGAGGGTCATCTTATACACAGAAGGAAGCTGAGTAGAGAACAAAAACAAGTGGATGGGAAAGCAGAGATCAAAGCAATCCTGCAGCACTTTGATCCCTGCTTTCTCCCTTTGTGCTAAGTCCCACGGGGCTTAGCAAAAGGAGGGGGAAAGGATCAAAACAATCCCGTGGCTGCACAAGGGGAAAAGCGATCAAAATGATTCATGCAGCCATGGGATTGCTTTGATCCTTTCCCCCCTCCTTTTGTAAGCCCCGTGGGACTTAGCACAAAGGGAGAAAGCAGGGATCAAAGTGATCCTGCAGCACTTTGATCCCTTTCACCCTCCACTTGCTATGCCCTGGTTAGATTTCTTAATTTTGGGTTAGAAAAGTGGGGAGCGTCTTATATATGGGGCATAATATACACGGAAAAATATGGCAACTCTATGTATCTTTGGGCACCAGCTGAAAACTTGGTAATTTAAGCCCATAAGCTGAGAAAATATATTTTTGGTGAGTACTTCAGCGTTCTTGCTTCTCATCTTGTTTATTTTGTTTGTTTATTGCTGAAAATTTTAACCCCCCTTTTTAGCTGTTTTTTATTATGCTTCTGGCTGTCTAGGGTCCACATGTGGGTGTGGGTGTGGGTGTGCATCTGTGTCTGTCTGTCTGCAGTTTCAGGTATCCATATATATATGAAACATGCAAGGAGGCTGAACAGCCACTAGCATAATAAAACACAGCTAACAAAAGGAGCTAAGAAATTCAGCAAGCAGTAGTCTGTAATACCGTAATATATAGAGGGTTCCTATATCTACAGTTTCAGGTATCCATGGTAGATCGTGGAAACAATCCCCTGCAGCAGTGGCCCCCAACCTTTTCCCAACCATGGAATGATTGGGGGTTGAGGTCTGTGCAGGGGGGATGGGGAACCCCTGTGCTTGAGGGTGGGCAGGACACGCACTTGCGGGGGCGCACTCACGTGCATGTGTGGAGGGACGGGATGTGCTCATGGGTAGGCAGGGTGCACTCGTGGGAGCTGGGACATGTGCATGGGCGGGGGTGCTCACGCGCATGAGCTGGGGTGGGGAGTGCATTCAGCGCCAGTAGATCTGTCTCTGTGGCCCGGTCCTGCCAGGGCCATGGCACTCTACCGGGCTGCAGACCGGGGGTTGGGGACCCCTGCCCTGCGTGGTTGTGCTGTACTTTCAAGTTAGTATGTATTAGACATCACTTTGGATACTTAATTCTCATCCTTTTCCATGCCTCTCTCTATCTCTCGTGTTTGTCACTGGACAGCGAAACTTGAATGAAAGTCATAGATAGATGAATTGCAGAACCTTTATTTAAAAACCAAACATTCTCAGATTTTGCCACTTACCAATGACTAGTTTCTAAATAATATCTTGCTAAATAGAGACTTATATATATCATTTGCGAAGCTTCTTAAGATATTAAGACTTTCAAGAGGCTCTGGGACCAGTAGCGGTCTCAATGACTAAGTGGCAGCTAATTTATTCCAGGGTTTCAATAGACCAGTGGTTTTTCATCTTTTCAGATTTCCAGGAACAGATTCCAGTAGTTTGCCAAGGACTCTTCTAGATGTTGTCTTCAACTGGATTTTGTACTGTTGTTTTCGTTGACAGTCTTCCTACCTAGCTGCATGTAGTGCTTTTTCAGTGACTTTTTATTCCTCCTTCTTTTCTCCTGAAGGCGTGTGATTTGTTTTTTAGTACTGGGAATGGAGTTTAGCACTTCCTGTTTGTGGTTTATGTCTGTGGCAAAAGCCTGCAGTCAGAAGTTTTCAATTAGCCTTCAATTAGTACTTTTTAGGGGACGTGGTGGCACTGCGGGTTAAACCACAGAAGCATCCATGCTGCAAGGTCAGAAGACTAGCCGTCGTAAGATCAAATCCACATGGACGGAGTGAGCTCCCGTTGCTTGTTCCACCTCCTGCCAACTTAGCAGTTCGAAAGCATGTAAAATGTGAGCAGATAAATAGGTACCATCATGGTGGGAAGGTAACGGCGTTCCGTGTCTAGTCGCGCTGGCCACGTGACCACGGAAACTGTCTACAGACAAACGCTGGCTCTATGTCTTGGAAACAGGGATGAGCACTGCGCCCTAGAGTCGGACACGACTGGACTAAATGTCAAGCGGAACCTTTACCTTTACCTAGTACTTTTTAAAAAATCTGCAGCAGAGAAACTGTAGCAGGGAAGTAGATTTCTTAAACATTTTTTTAAAAGAGAAGCAGATTTCTTAAAAAGAAACAAAGTGGGCTTTTAAGGTGACACTTGGATACAAATCTTGGTTAACTGTGACCTGAGGTCTTTTGGCAGCAGTTGACAAAAGGTGGGGTGGAAGAAATGCTCTGACGGGAAAAGCTTCTTGATCATGTGCATTGTAGATTCTGAAGTATGTTTTAGGGTGCATTATCTGTTCAGGCCAAACACCAAATAAGACTCTGTATATAAATAACTAACATGTGCAGTGACAGGGCAATCTCAGGATCCACCCAGACCAGAACAAAGGTACTTGAAAGAGTAAACAGACATATACTCATATATTTATGAGACATAAAATCCAGAGCCTGTTGTCATCTGATAGTAATAAACCATGCTGATAATCTTAGCTGATACCTCTAATCTCATGTCTTTGAACCCACTCCCTGTCTCTAATCTCTTTACTAAACTGAATTGCCTGGACAACATCAGCTCCACCCATTATTCCATTATTTGCTTCTACTGCCAATTATTTCTCCATTCTTTTTGTATTACAGTATATTTAGAGTGTACTTTCTCATTTTCTGTTGCAAGGTATTTATAATATACTTTCTTAAGGAAGCCACTGTTACTATAATCAAACTAGCTGATTTAGTTTGGAGTGAAGCTATAATTATATTCTTACACAGCATCTTCAGAGAAAAGTTTCTACATGCTGCAGGAACAGTCAAATGCCTTCTGGTTAAAAAATGTGCTCATGCTCAGGTAGAACTGATTCTGTTATCTGTTTCAGAATGGTATTGTGAAGATAAGAAACGGCATGAGACATTGACAGGTCCTGATGTTCTCTTCCTGCTTGCCTCACACAAAAACTACGTGTGAGACATGTAAATATGGTGACATCCTTCAAAATACCTTGTGTCCTGTCCTTTTACGGAATGGAGTTCCTTTTGGATTCTCAGGAATGATTGACAGGGAATTGTAGGCAATCTGTGAAACAGTTTTTGTGTATTTATTTGGAACTAATGACAGAAATGGAATTTATTCCCAAGTATACTTAGGTTTGCAATCTAAATTATATAACTTCTTCAAGGAAAATACCGCTCCTAGATGTATGAGATTGTTGCAGTATTGATTCATTGTTAACTGTGTGCAAAAGAAGGCAGGAAACTCTCAATAAATACTTCCCTGCTGTGCAGTTGTAACATTTTTGCTTCTGTATCGAGTTGCCTTTTCAGGTGTGCTTAGCAGAAATGTCAGGGGACTGTGCGTACAGTATAGATGGAAATTCACTATCTCTCTGTTTCTGATTTCTGAATACAAAAGGGAACATCTGTCATTAAAGAATTCCCTGGTTACATATAGCTGGAGAAAAGAGGCTCCCTGTTTAAGCCATTCATTGTTAGAATAATTTCTTCCCAAGTTATTTTTACGTTTACAGAAGCCCATGGATCCAATGCCGGATCATGTAATTCTGCAAGACAGCCAAATGGTTAGAGTGTTTAATATGATGTTTAATTATAAAGTTTTAGGTAATTCCATTTTTAATCTGTTTTTCTATTTCTCCCTCTAATAAATCATAACTTCTGTATGGAGGTAAAAAGTTAAGGTTTGTTTACTTTTTTCCACAAGAACAATCATGCTTTATAAATTCAGTTATGTGAAGAGAAACCCATTCGATCCTGGATATTGTCAGGATGAGCAGAAAAGGAGTGCAGTGTTTTGTGAGTAAGTGATGGATTTTTGTGAATAGAAAAGAAGGATGACTTGTGCTTCTTTGGTTGTCTCTGAATTGAGGGCTGAAGTATCTCCCAGTGTTCCCAATTTGTTCCATTATTAGAATAGGAAGTGGAGTAAAGATATGTGACATATAAGATGAAGGCTTTTAATCATCCACTCTTTTCTCTTAATCTTTCCCACTCGAAACAGGAGATGGATGTGGACCTATGGCTATCTATGAAGACAGTGGAACTCTGGCATCCAAGAACTATCCCGGGACTTACCCCAATTACACCATCTGTGAAAAAAAGATTAAAGTGCCTCAGGGAAAACGGCTGATATTAAAAATTGGAGACTTGGATATTGAATCCCAGCGATGTGAATCTAATTATCTTAGCATTCATAGTTCTGCAACTGTCCATGGTATGTAATTACGGTAAGACTGTGTTAGACAATATGAACTGTTAAGGACAGAGGAGCATTTTAAATGCAAATATAAAATACTTGCATTTTTATCTTAATATAAATTGATCTACCACTTGCTCAACTGGAACTTGAGCTAGAATGCAATTATCCTTTAATGTTCATTCTTCTCAAAACTTGTCAGAAATAAAATGAGGTTTTTGAATGGATTGTTGTGCCTTATTGCCTTGAATAAGTTTTTGGTGTTGCTTTTGTTTGTTTGTTTGTTTGTTTTTTAGTGTGGTATTTGATTCTTTTAGTATGTGTATAATCACTGCTTTTAGCTTTAAATATTGACTTTTAATTGATGTAAGTGCCTTTTTAAGAAAAAGGTGGCATAATTTTTTAAAAATAAAAATTATAAAAATTGCCCAGTAAAATGCATTAAAAATAATAATGCATGGAAGACAATTATGCACAAAATGCATATTTTTTGTGAAAGAATGTAAAAAGGCACATATTACAGGAACAACTTACGGAATAGGCATATATTGGGGACAATTGCATATAGGTTCACGTAGAACTTTTAAAGGAATGCATTTCCAAACTGGATTGGGGAAAAATTATGCTAAAAAAGAAGGTGAACATTCAAGAAAATGTCCAAATTTTTAGGTTTGATGGGAGCAAAGAAAAAAAAAGAGTACCCTCACCCTGTTTTTTTAATGACTTCTTTCAGCTTTTCTTGTTTCGGGTCCTGTATTTACTACTCTGATTGTTGGATGTTCTCTATGTTCTTGAACAGAACCTTTTCCCCAAAAGGGGATTCCTGAGATCTTTGCAAATAGAATTCAGGATATGGGCCCGAGGCATTTGGCAGCAAACCTTGTGTGCTTTAGCATGGTCCCTCACTCCCTGAAGCGGCTGTAGGAGGGCTTCAGATTCTTTAAGCTAGGAAGGGATGGAACGGTCTTCGAGGTTTTCTGGTCTCACTGTATAAAAATGGAGAAATGGTCTCTGCTTTAGCAATAGAAATTACTACTATTTGTATTTTTTTGCAATGCATTGTTTATGAGCTGTTTGCCCCTCCATTTTGTGTGCATTTGATGGAATAACATTTTTTTTGTTCCTTTTGTTAGTTTCCCATGGGTCTTGCAATGAAAAAATGATTTTTTTTCTTTTTATGCTGATGCATGTGTACTCTGTCTAGGTTGTTTTGTGTGAGTTTTCATAGTCCTCTGGATTATTCTTACCTGTGCTGCTTTGAAAGACTGAGAGTCTCAAACCAGTCAGTCTTAGATTGAGTCAGCAGTCTTAATTATACCTGAGTAATAGACAAGTCACTGAGAAATTTAAGAGACAGCAGAAATGTGTCCATGGGAAAATATGTGGTTACATGTTTTGTGTGAAAATGGGAGGGGGGAAGGTGAACTGTCTTGTGACCTTCAATATGCAAAACACTGACTCAAGAAGATGAAGTCTGTGTCTGACAGCATGCGTCTTGATTTTTCTGAGCATCGTCTAAGAATCATTCAGAGAACCAGTATGGTCTAGGGAATAGGGTGTCAGAACAGAATTCAGGAGGCATGGATTCAGATCCCTGTTTGCCCATGGAAACTCAGTGGGATGGCAATAGTAAACAGCTTCTTGAATATCTCATGCATTTCAAGAACAACCCTATCAGTATCAACATAAATCGGAAGCAACTTGACAGCATGCAACAACATTAAAGAATCACAGCATACTCGAGTATTAGACTGGGATTTGGGAAATCTAGGCTCCATTCCTCACTGACCAGCCCATAGTCATCCATTGAGTTTCGTGGTTCATTCTCTCTCAGTGTTAGGCCTATCTCATAAGTTTACTGTAAAGATAAAACATGAGACAGAGGAGAGTAATATATACCACTTTGAGCTTAGTAGAGCAAATCTGAGATATAAATGTAATGAGCAGAAACATTTTTACTAGGAATGTACATTTGGAATCAGAAATACTGTATTTGGAAGTCATTGAGTAATACCATATTCAGGTACAGTGGTGCCTCACACAACGATGTTAATTGGTTCCAAAAAAATCAACGTTGTGTGAAACATCGTTCTGTGAAACACCATTTCACATAGGAATGCATTGAAAACCGGTTAATCCGTTCCAATTGGAACGGATTGCCATCGTTCAGTGAAAATCCCCATAGGAAACATCGTTGAGTGAAACAATGTTTCCTATATTGGAATGTATTCAAGCCGACTCAATACATTTCAATGCCTTTGCGAAGTCCTTTTTCGCTCCTGTAAAAGTGTCTTACAATGTTTGGACGCTGTTTTAAATGATTGCAATGGTTAGTCCACCTCCTGAAACCTATGCAAACTGATTTTGGTGTTGTTCTGACACTTCGTTAATTTATGATGATTTTTTGTTTTTTCCATTGGAAACCATTAGACAGACCATCCAATGGTTTCCTATGCAGAAAAAACAAAAAATCATCATAAATTAACGAAGTGTCAGAACAACACCAAAATCAGTTTGCATAGGTTTCAGGAGGTGGACTAACCATTGCAATCATTTAAAACAGCGTCCAAACATTGTAAGACACTTTTACAGGAGCGAAAAGGGAGATCGTTGTGTGAAAATCCCCCATAGGAAACATCGCTGTGTGAGGCAGCAAATTTAACAGAAAAAGGCATCGTTGTGTGAATTCATCGTTGTGTGAGGCACTCGTTGTGCGAGGCACCACTATAGTTCCAAATATATCTGAATTTGATAGTTCCATATAATTTCTAATATATTGAGTCACATTACCAGTCCTTCCTTTGCTACCAAAACTTATTGCAGCCCTCTTAAAACTGTTGGGATGGATATAATGTTCTTAAATCAAATCCTTTATATACTTTGACTGCCACATAGTGTACTGTAATAACGTTTTCCCATTCAGGAGTTTAGTCCAACTTGATGGTAATTCTCCCAGTTAACTAGTGAACACTCCTCAATCTAATTCTCTTCATCTCTTCAGGAAACTTTTCATATTTCTGCTGTTGAAGAGGGATTTTGGTTGTTTTAAGTAGTTCTAGCATGAATTGCATCTTCAGATCTGTGTACTGGTTCTCCTGGTTTTAAAAATCTGTCTTTTAATAATTTTTAAAAGTTTTCCTTTACAGAGGGATGTCTCTCTATAGAACCCCATAAGGGAAAATCTGTGTAGCCCATATATCTTTGGCAGTACATGATAGAGATATTTAAAAAGTCAGTGGGAGTCAAGCTCTGTGAGTTTGTCAGTGGTGTGATTGTCAGTGTTGCTGCAGGGCTGCCATCACCAAGCCTCTTGTTTGATAGCTGAGAAAAAGCCTAGAGCCAACCTTTGGTATCCATATGTTGTTGGACTTCAACTTTCAGAAGCCCCATCTGGTCAAAGCTAGAAACCAGTACTGGACTGAGTATGTGCGGCTAGACTCAGCAGCACCTAACCATTTAATTCTTGGTGAAATCTCTGTCCATTTACAATAGAATGCCTGCTGTGTATTATGGAAACGGGGATGAGCACCACGCCCTAGAGTCTGACATGACTGGACTAAATGTCAAGGGGAACCTTTACCTTTACCTGTGTACTGTATTATGAATGGCAGTCAATAACTATTGTAAACAAGTGAACATCACTACTCGTAATATTTTGCTTCTTTATACATATAAAAATAGACAATTTTATAAATTTATCTTTTTAAAACAACAGTAGCATATAGAACAGTTAGTATATGACCTAACTCAAAGGAAACATTTACAATAATTACAAGATGGGGAAGATGACCACCTGGTTTTTTCTTAAATGAAATTGGTTTAAATGTAATACCAGGAGTTTGATTGGTTCTGAAACTGTTTAGTCTTTAATCATTCATATGAAGAAATAAACTTAATTCTAGGTAGACTTTCTCAGTTTTGTGTTCCAAAAACTGGGAGGAGAACAAAAGACAAGGGACAATTTCTTTCAAAATAAGAATTAACAGCTAAGTAATTATAGAGGCCTAAATCCAGCTGCTAATTCCAATCGAATCAATGAAATGTTCATAAGTGTTTAGCAATTGGATTAAAGCCATATTTTATACATTGCTATAAATAATATTACATATTTCTGTGTTTTGTCCTCATAGTGTATTGTCTCATTCAAGGAGAGTGTACCTTTTTTTAAATATATCCTTTATTTAGTACTTACATTTTGTATCTTCTAGTGACCAGTGAGCATTCAGCTGACTCTGAATGTTGGACTATTTCTGTGATGGGTAACTGTCTTTTTAAAAAATCTTGTACTTCAAAGGCTAGTGGGCAGGAAGTCTGCTTGAAGCTAAAACAGTCTGAAGTGTTAATACCATTTTTTTTTTACTGAACACAGAATGGCAGGAAATTAGTTGGCTAAGTAACTTCAAAAATTACATGTCAAAATTCCAGTAGATACGCTGTGGCAAAGAAAAACTGAGTACATGATAAAGATGTTTATGTTTCCTAGTATCTAGATGACCACTTCACCCATTACCAAATATTGTTTGTTTTCTGTGTGTGTAGGGCCATATTGTGGCAATGTGCCTGTCCCAGAAGAAATCATCTTAGATTCTAATGAAGCAACTATTCACTTTGAGAGCAGGTCACACGTGTCTGGAAGGGGTTTTCTACTATCCTTTGCCAGTAGTGATCATCCAGGTAAAGTTAAATTCCAGAAATCTTTATTTCTGTGTTTCATTTGAGATGGAGTTTAAAAAGTAGATAGAGTATTCCCACTTCCTGGCTCACACAACAGGCATTCTGAAAACAAGTCGAAAGCCAAACAAACCAAACTGGGTAAACAAAGAGGAATCTGCATTTGAATAAGGGGCTGATGACCAAAGCCAACCTTTAAAAAAAACACATATATTTGCATGTGCATTTTAAGCGTATCTACCATGATCTCCTTGCCCCCATTTCTATATAAAGATCCATTTCCTATTTCTAGCTTTGCAAGGCAGAACATCACGACCCCTGATTCTAACAGGAATCCTCTTTTATTACCCACTCCTACCCGCCTGTCCACTCAGTTGGGAGGGGTTTCTCTGTTACCTTGGCCTGCCTCTCCCTCAAGGGGGAGTTAGCTCTTTGAGACACTCTTCCCTTTTTACCTCATCCTGCTCTTTCCCTTCCCCTCATTTTATCTCTTCTTCCTTCTTAGACTCCTCCTCCTCCTCTAATGGTTGTTCTTTTCCCAGACATTTCTTCCTCCCCGAGTAGTCATGTGTGAAGCATAATCCACTTCCTGGGCTTTTAACTGCCTCTGGACTTCCAGCTGTGAGCGGGGATACTATTTCCAGATCTCCCATGTTGACCTCTATAGGGGCGCCAGTGGTCATGTATTCTTCAAGCTCATTTAAAAGAGAGGACGTGCCAACAGGAAGCCTAGTCTCCTTGTCACCCTTCTCACAAAGTGTCCTAGCTGAATATGAATGATAATGTCTTGACCCTGGATTTTATTAACTAAGGCAGAGAGGCACCCGATCTACATGTGTGGATATAATTTATATAAACCAAAGACATATCTTCAAACAGAGTTTTTGTTCCCCTCCAAAGATAAGACCTTATCCTGACGATTAAGACATAACATGCTGACTGAATCTTTTTGTTTCAAGCCGAAGCTTAACCGAAACCTCTGCTCTGCAAATGTTTTTCAAAAATGACTACAGTATCAGACTTCTTTCTGCTATACTTGGTTGATATTTGTTTGGAATGTAGATGTGAGTGGCCATTGAACACCCTCCCTTCCTCCTAATAATTATTCTGAGGTCAGATTCTGGCATCATTGTTCCTATCGAGAAGAAAATATGGATCCTCCACAGTGAATCTGGTGTGCAGTTAGAAAGGTGGGAACCTATTATGGAAAGAAAAGATTGAGGGAATACTCTGATTCTTGGGTTGATTGTTCTTAAGAGACGTTTGAGAGAACAGCATTTTAGCTTTAACTGATAGGCCACATCTTTTTTCTCCGTGTGCTGGATGTTCTGGATTTACACTTGTTTTTACTTTCAAACAGATTTAATCACATGTCTGGAGAGAGCAAACCACTATGTGGAGAAAGAATACAGGTAAATATAGGTTTATGAGGTAGACATTGTGCCTGTCGTGTTGCATCTTGCACTTGAAAATACTTAACTGCTGTAACCGGATGAGGTACATGACTGCTTGTGATATGCTTGAAACCCTGCTGCCAACCACAGGAATGTGTTTTCCTGGAGATATTTGGAGATATTTCGTTCTGTGATGATCTACTGGAGAGACTTGGATGTCTTCCTCTGAGAGACTTTGCATTCCAGGGTGATTAAGGAACGCTGCAGCAGACCTCTGTGCTGCCTTGATGGATAGCATAGTAGACTGGAATGCCAGTGTGAGCAGGTAGAGCACTTGGTCCTTGCCCCTGCCCTGCCCCTCTGTGCCTCACCACAGAAGCAGGAGTTAAAGCCACTAAACACCTTGAAGGATCAGTCTGAACAACTGGAAGCTGAAGAGTCTCTTGTCGTAGATGTGAATAATTGCTTTCTTTAAGGTGGTAATTGATAACATGTGAAATTACCAAATGAGACTAAAGGAATGAAATGCGTTTCTCCTCTGTTTGTGTATGCATCTGTGCCATTATCTACAGAGCACATGAATAAATTAGAACTTGGAAATAATTTGCTTTTTAGATTACCCTTCAAGACATTCTTCATGCGTGTGAGTGTGTAGATATTGCAATTCATATTAGTTCCTACCTGAAATGGGATTTGTTCTTTTCTCCATGACAGCAGGTACTGTCCAGCTGGCTGCAGAAACATAGCAGGTGATATTTCTGGGAATATAGTGGAAGGCTACAGAGACGTAAGTGTCTGAGATAGAGAACCATGAAGGGATAGCAGTATTGTTTTCTCATTATGTTTTGTTGCCAGATATGCATAAAATAAAAGTTTAACTCTGTGTTCCATTGTGAGGCCAGTAAGGCAATGTGCTTATATGAAGTAGAGGACAGTCCACTAAATGACCAAATAGATAGTTACTCTGTATGGAAGAAGAAAAGAATTGTGCATATTTTACTTTGGCCATAGGAAGTAATGGATGAGATTCTGTTGCTAGTTGCACTTGAGTATGAATCAGTGGGGATTTAACAAGTTGCAACTGGAGTAAACCCATTTGAATCTAGAATTTGCAAAGGAGTTGATTCACCAAATCCCAGTTGATTCAGTAGTTCTGTTCTAGAGCAGCTTACTATGCTAAGCAACAGAATATCAGCCATACTGGCTTGCTGTTCCTTTCACTAGTAAAGTTTTAGAGTGTGTGTGTTTTTGTATGGTTGGATTGCATGTTTTGAATGCCTGTTAGAAGGGATTATAATCCTTGCTCTGGAGTTCTGTGCAAATACAGTCTAACTGGCATAGTTCTTTTCAGTCACCTTTTGTTATATAGTGTCCAAACTGGATGAGTGATCTGTTTGAGGTCAATATTTCCTTAGAATCACCATGCAATTCATAACTGAAGTATCTGCAGTATCCCTGCAAAAGCATGTTGAGTTTTTTTCTCCACCTCTATAATGGAGAAATAACACTGTGTTAATGATTGTCTGAGTAAACCTCAGGTAGGGAAGGATTACTGGACTGTAAAATATTAACCATAGCACTTATTTGACCAAGTAAATCTCTTTACATTTGGATTGTAAAAGGGGGCATGGTGATTATAATTTTTATTAACACTGAAATCCCATCTGATCTTTTAATTGATTTCCAAACATCAGACCTCCTTATTGTGCAAATCTGCCATACATGCTGGAATAATTGCAGATGAGTTGGGTGGACGGATTAATGTGGTTCAACTGAAAGGAATCAGACGTTATCAAGGAATCCTTGCCAATGGCATTTTATCTCAAGAGTAAGTGTTGTCCATGTTTTAGACCAACGGTCCCCAACCTTTTTAAGCCCGTGGACCAGTTGGGGAAGGGGGGGCACCCCTGCGCATGCACAAAGGAGTAGGTGGGTGCTTGCTCATGCACATGCATGAAGGAGCTGGAGGGCGCTTGTGCGGGTGCGCGGGTGCTCATGCGCATGCACAAAGGGCGCTCAGCGGCACTTGTGCGCATGTGCTAAGGGGTGAAGGAGCATGGGTTAGGGAGTGTTCGCGTAGGCGCAAAGGGGATGTGCAGAGGGGTGCGGGGGGGGAAGGTCTGTCTCCACAGCCCGATCCAGCTCAGGCCATGGATCGGCACCAGGCCACGGACCAGGGTTTGGGGACCTCTGTTTTAGACAATCATATTTCAGCTTTTTCTTTTATGAATGGTATATGTCTTTTGCCTGTGGTTGGAGTTTATTTCTTCTTCCTTCATGTGAGTTATGACTAAACTAGGATAGCCTCTGTGCTGCAAGGTCAGAAGACGTGCAGTCGTAAGATCGAATCCATGTGACTGAGTGAGCCCCCGTCACTTGTCCCAGCTCCCACCAACCTAGCAGTTCAAAAGCATGCAAAAATGCGAGTAGATAAATAGGTACCACCTCAGTGGGAAGGTAAACGGCATTCCGTGTCTAGTCACACTGGCCACATGACCATGGCGGATTGTCTGCAGACAAACGCTAGCTCTAAGGGTTGGAAACTGAGATGAGCACCGCTGCCTAGAGTCGGACACAACTGGACAAAATTGTCAAGGGGAATCTACCTTTACCAAGGATATCTTCTGTCAACCATAGTTTCATATGAATCAGGAAGCTGTGATTGCATGTGGTCAATATTTCAGCTTAATAAACCAAGGTAAGAATGAGCCTTCCTACATGCAACAGCATATTTGCTCTTACTTTTACATAAACAAATAAACCAGGAAATCTGGAGTTCACCACAACATCCCATTTCATTCAGACCAAGCAACAGTGATTTAAATTTTTAAACAAGCCAGGCTTTTAGTGGTGTAGCAACTTTCAAGATTAGAGATGAGGGCATTTGTATACAAATACGAATACCACCACCCCCACACACAGGTGGAGATAACCATCATTCACCTTTCCACTGCTGCTGCAGACTCCATGCTCCCTTTCTATCATTCCAGAGCTCACAGTGGATTAGCCACTCCTGGCAGGAGGCAGGATGATGAGCCTCCCTGCCAGGTCGAAGAGTGGCAAAATGGTGAGTGGACGTTATCTCCTTCGTTATCTCCATCTATGGGGGGGTATACAAATACCCCCATCTCTATTCAAGATCAAAGTTGGATCAAAAGGCAGGGTGGGAATGAAATACACAAATTATTTAATCTTAAAATTGGTTTTTTTAATATGAAAATTAATAATCAAAATAATTCTAATGCCACCATTTTCTTTCTTTCTTTACAGTGGTTCTCTGTCAGATAAGCGGTTTATTTTTAATTCAAATGGTAAGAAATGTATTTCTTTATAAATAAATGCATTATTAAACTAAGGCTGAAATTGTATTTCTGAATTTAATGCCTGTGGAAGGTTGGTTATGACATGGAAATGGAAGATTATTCAGTAATGTAAAAACTGTGTACCTCTGTTACAGCTCTTCCAGCTTCCAAGTACATCCTCTTATGTGGAAGCTGTGGGAGCCGTAGGACAGGAGGAGGAAATCTTTAATTTCTGGAAATTATTACTATTGGATGACATTCTTAATCCCATCCTACAGCTTCTATGCAATCCTTGGGATTGCTCAGAAGTTGGAAAGACTATGGGATAGAAGGTGGAAATTTTTAAATCAGCCAAAACTGCCCCAGCCCAAGATGTCATTGCTCCTCTACAGGTATAAGTTATGGACCAGGATTTATAGACCAGGATAGAACTTGGGAGGCTAGTATCATTCTTGTTTAGAAGAAAGTGCCACTGAAACTTACAAAACTGGCTGCCAAGTTGAGGTGAATGCATTTTTGTACCTTTTTATTATTATTATTTCAGTGAGATGTAGCCCATGTAATCTCATAACTGCTGAAGAATCCCTATAGCAGACTGCAGCATGTCTGGACATTGCAGAGATGCTCATGTATATTTCAGGACATGCTTTCGTATTGTGAATGATACACCCATGTCAGCTGTACTTCTGTGAATCACAGTTGAAGAAATGGTACACAAACTGTGTTTCTAGCCTGTCTTATTGAGAAATTTTTAATCAGCTTTGGAGTATCATCATAAAAGAAGAGGAAGAACAAGCAAGCAAACTCTGCATCTGCCTTTGCCATTCTTGTTGCCCTCATGTTCAGGACACACACCTGATGATGCATGGAGCCTCCTCTATCAGTGGAGGCTTTTGGTGCAGAGTGCAGTCTAATAAAATTGTTGACAGGAGACTCAGCATGCTCTTCTCCACTTCTCTTCCTTGCATTTGGAGTCTACATGTTTTAATAATGCCTGCAAGGGTTGTTGAGAGCCATGCATTTAGCTCATTACTGGGAGCTTGGTCTACTGTCAACTCTCCCAGGTATATTGCAGTATTTGCCATGTTCTTAGTAACACCAGCTTAGATGTTGTATTATCAGAGAGTTGTTTGCTGGATGCTAACCAGAGGTTTCTTTACATGAAACCTGATGCAACAAAGGTTCAGGTATATATAGCTAGTTAAATGTCATACCATTTGGGTTATAAAATTTGCACTCATTTGTTTTCTTGTCTTCTCACTCTGCCCATTCAAATTCTTTTGCTAATTGTCATGCAGGATTCTTCCAGAATTGCATTTATCACAGGCAAAAAGTATGCTCTGCATTTGAAGTGCTTACAACTAAAGTTATGGGGAAAGTACATTTTTACAGGAACTCTCCATGATATGTGTGGTCCAATAATACTGATGTATGAAAAATATGTGATCCACTCAGCCAGGCTGATGACTGAACTCATCATTCCATAGTAGGGATGAGCAATTTGTGGCCCTCCAGATGTTGGTGGACACTGGTGTCTGCAGTGCAAAATTATTGGAGGTCCGATTTCCCTGTCCTGTTAAACAGTATTAGCTAATGCAGCAGGTATATGGGCAGTGGTTGCAAATAGAAATGCTCCCTTATTTAATTTTGAATTTTAAGGTTGCAATAAATCGCTGAACCTGGAAGGAGGAGATGCTTCTAATTCTCAGATCACTGCATCTTCATTCTGGGATGAAACCAATGAAATTGGGGAGACGGTGCAGTGGTCGCCTGATAAGGCTTGGCTCAAAGTTCAAGGGCCGTCCTGGGCAGCGAATCAGAGTAACCATCGGCAATGGCTGGAAATTGACTTGGGAGAAAGAACAAAAATAACAGGTCAGTTGATTACCATAGGAGATTATGTCTTCTTACCTATTTGAATTCATTGTATTATGAGGCATCATACAAATGTGAATCATTACTAAGTGTGAACTGTTTACAGCTTTTTTTTTAAGCTAAATGGATGTTGTGAAGTTAAAATGCTACTCTGGGTGCCTTGAGGGAAGGGAGGCATAAAGTGTAATATCTAATTAAAAGCTTAATGTTTAATTGGAGAACTCTAGCAAGCCTCATTGGTATTACTGCAGTTATTACCCATAAACATCTGAGTTATTAGAACTGCACCTTGCCCTCTCTATCAAAAGTAACATGAAATTCTTAATGAGGCCTTCAGATCAAATTCTTCTGCTCTCACAACACCAGCCCAGGAGCAGAGAATTTTCTCAGGAATACAATTGTGGGCAACTTATGGTTTGCTAAATAGAAGGCTTAGCTGGCCGAATAGCTCAATGATTTGGTTATCTGGCTGCGGAGCCAGAGGTTGGGAGTTCGATTCCCCATTGTGCCTTCTGGGAGAAGAGCCAGCCTATATGGCCTTGGGCAAACCACAAGGGAAGCTTATATATAGATAACTACATGTGAACTTACATGCTGTCTCTTGCTTTTGCACATGCACACGCACACATAGGGAACTCCTAGACAATTGGTAAAATTTTCACTGAGTCTCTACACTGCATCTTTCATACAGCTGATTCACCTCATATATATATGGTAGTTATGTAGCACTCAGAGTGAACAGAACTGCCACTCCACTTCTCATGTGCACATAACTAAGTCTAACTGAGCCATCCATCTTCCTTTTCTCTATCACTTGAAAAATGGTACTTTCTCTCTTTTCTCTCTCCCCCCCCCCACTCAGAGCATTGTAGTTAGGCTTGCTGTCTGTAGGCAAACATGATGAAAGAATGCATCTCCACAAACGTGAGTGTAAATAAGAGAAAACTGCCACAGGGTTTGGCTTCCTAGGACATGCTCATTGTGTATTTGGAAGATTACATCTCCCCATTGTGCTTAACAGCCACAATCCAAAAGCATGTTATGCATCTGTAAACCTAATAGAATAAACTCTGTTGGGTTGTGCCAGCGTAGTCCAGATGGTGAAACACAATGATTATGTACAAGGAAAGGATCCCTTGCTGATATCACTAACCTCATCCTTGTTGCTGGGGTGATGCTATTATATTGGTATCGGTAACACAAAGGTTACAGCTAGTATTCAGGCTTAGAATATAAGTCTACTTTAAAAAGATGTTTAAATACCTGTTTTAAATAACTTGCATCTACAAAACACTGGTTCTTTTCGAAGCATAAAGCACATGCTTTTCCAATAATTATGTCTCTTAATTTTGCTTCAGGGGTAAAATAGTTATCATTGTTTGAAAGGAATGTCTTGTTTTTCTTTACATTTCTTTTTGTTAACGAATAAACAAAAACCTATCATTCCCCCTCTCGCTTTTTTTTTTACAAGGAATTAGAACTACAGGGTCCACTATGCTCAATTTTAACTATTATGTTAAGACATTTATTGTGAACTACAAAAACAATAACTCAAAATGGAGGACCTACAAAGGAATCCTAAGCAATGAAGAAAAGGTAACCAGGGAAAGGGCAAGGATGTTGAACTGAAGATGTTTTTCTGCCTCCAATAAGCATTTCAGTGTCACTATATATCTTCTGTTTTCATACAGTTCAGGCTGCAATCCTCTGAAGAATTATGTTTAAATCCAGTTAAGTGGGCTTTAAGTAGCCTAGGTATGCAGAGTATACATTCAGAAGTACTTTAATCTGCCCCCCCCCAGTAATGCAGGGATCCCATAGGAGGAAGCTGGATATTTTTTTTCACAAGAGGAAGCAGGAAGGCAAGAGATTGTTTAGACTAGAAGAAAATGTGAGAAGAGTGATTGTAAAATCAAGGACAATAGGGGTCAAAGCACAGTACCCTCTGTACCATATTCTCCAAAGGCCCAGAAAGTAGCTTGCATTCACGCACGTGCACACGCATTGCAGTCGGAGATGAATAAACACTAACTTTGCTTTGAATGAAGCTGAGAGTAGGAGAATCAAAATGGATGAGGCTCAGAAAGATTGTATGAGTGGGGAAGACTAAACAGAGCACTGTATAGTTAGGCCGTGTATATAAGAATTGTGTGGTGAGCAAATTGGAACTTAATTGTCTCTATTTTAAATAAATTTTAAGAAGTGTCTACCTTAGCATTGTTTGCTAACAGTTCAGGATGAATTTTGGCCCTTATCAGGAGATCTGTTAAAGAATATGTGTACAGTCAACCCTCAACTTACGAATGTCCCTACATATGAACTTTTCGATTTACAAATGGCTCCGTTCACAAAAATTGGCATCGACTTGCGAACGGAGCCTCGACCTACGAATGAGGTTGAGGCTCCATTCGCAAGTCAATGTCATTTTTTGCAAACGGAGCCATTTGTCGCCTTCAGAGGTCTCAAAGGGCTTTCCCCCCGACATCAGAGGAAGCCCTTTGAGAGCTCTGAAGGCAAAAAGGGAGAAAGGGCGGGGAATTCGAATTTCCAGCTCTTTCTCCCTGCCTTTTTGCCTTCAGAGGTCTCAAAGGGCTTCCTCCAATGTCCGAGGGGGGGGAGCCCTTTGAGACCGACGAAGGTAATTTTTTGAAATGCTGGAATGGATTAATTCCGTTCCCATGTATTTCAATGGAAAATGGTACTTCGACTTACGAACTTTTCAACATATGAATGCCGTTCCAAAACAGATTAAGTTCGTAAGTCAAGGTACCACTGTATATATGCTTGTTCATTTATTCTACTACACTTTCCTTTGTGTAGAGAGAACTTTCAAGTTTTCCAGTGTTTGTAAAGATTTAACCATTTCTCATGCCCACTCCTTCCTCCTGGTTTTGAATGAAAGGGTGTTGATAAGTAGGAAGATGGGTTAATCTATAATAATCCTTCTCCTTTGTAGGGGCAAACTCTGATTAACTCTTTCAGCCCCAAACTCTTTCAGCCCCAACAGTCACAGTATATAAGGCCTAGAAACACTTTCCCCACACCTTACTAGCCTGTGGTAGGAATTGGAGGAACTTGGCCATTACCAATAGAAAGAGGATTTGCTTACAGTTCTATGTGAGAAACTTCTTTGGCTTCTTGACATCAAGGGTGCTGTGCTAAGTAGGAGCTTCAGCCTGGAAGAGGAATTTTCACTATCTCACGGCATTATGTAGTATCAGTTGAATGTTAAAGGATTCACTTTGGGATAGTTCTGTTATCTTTTCCTAAGTCAGCTTGTGTCGGTTGTGAAATCTATCTCCCTGTCCAGTAAAACATTGCCTTCTGTACAGTTTTATAAAAACTGGCAACATAAAATTAACACTAGGCCGTCTGTGAAAACAGTATAACGTGAATAAATTGTTGTTTTTTTAATATGGAATGGACTTTGGGATTGATTTGTTGGTTTGTTATCATGGTCTTCTGTTCCATTAGTATAAATAAATGCTGCCTAGCTTGGGAATAAAAGACAATCATTTCAGTGATTTAAAGAACATACGCATGTGAGGAGGTGGGTGGGGAGTATCTCTCTGGATTTTGAAATGTAAATTAGTGCTGCTTTGCAAGAAGGCTGATTTCTCCAGTTTAGCTCCCTCTGTTGCCACATTTGGTAGGATTGTGGCAGTCAGTCAATAGGGCAGTAAAACCAGGGTCCCTTGATGGCAAAGTAATAGTTTCTTCGTACTTAAGAGAAGACTCAAGGTTTGCAGAAGAAAACTATATTGCATTGCATGTGTCTTGGGGTTTATGAGGGAGGGAGTTGCTTCCCTCATTGTTCTGCAGCTCTAAGGATTTGGGTGCTGACTGTCCAGCCAGCCACACATGCAGTCTGTAGGGAGGTGGGGATCATGTTCCCCTTCCTGTTCTGTATTTCTGAGACTTCGGTTCAGCTGAGCAACTTAACTACTCATCCAGTCTCCAGAGTCGTCCTTCTCTGGTGTTAAAAGTATTTTGAAGCCCAAGACTCATATATAGTTGGAGGCATTAGGAGAAAGGATTTTAAAAATGCTCGTCAGGGGCTGCCCCTGTATTCTACACTGCTTTCCTCCAGAAGCTGTTTTGCAAAAGAAGAGGGGTAAATTTGCCTCCCAACTTGTCTAAATACTGTCTTATAGTATTATTATCCATTGTTGCTGGTAGGGCAAGGTACATGTTTGCTTATATATATAATATTTGTCTTCAATGTGTGTACTCCAAAATCATGACTCATGTTTATTTCAAACTGCAGATATTCAGAGCCAATTCCAACCATGGAGACATAGTGCGGAATAATTTCATTCCCCCTATAGTTGCCCGGTATGTGAAGATTATTCCACAGAGTTGGCACAAAAGAATAGCTCTAAAGGTGGAACTTCTTGGTTGTCATATTGTACAAAGTAAGCAACGCCCAGGGTAAAATAAAACTAATAAATAAAACTAATAATAAAATATATCTAATAGGCAGTAGAATCTAAATGTTGCACAAACCTGTCCAACCTCACTGTATTTTTTTTCTGGTTTTGCAGTTAACAAATCCCTTTTTCATCCACTCTGGCAAAGACCAAGTCAGAGCACGGGTGTTTCAATTGGAAAAGACGACAGAACAATTACTGAATCCATACCTTCAAGAGAAAACAACTTAGGTACTGAGCACATTATAGAGAAGGGGTGGCTACATGTCCCCGACAGATTAACCCAAGGGAATGCAGACCAAGGGAGAGTACAAACTGTCTGCTGTATTTGATATGAGTTTATTTACTTAACTAGTTCCAAATAGGAGCAAGACTATTTAGCATTTTTGGAAATGATCGACCTGAGTATTTGGGGACTGTAAGCCTTAAAATGTTTTCTAGGAAATAAACCACATTGAATAAGATGTGTGGGATTTTTAATTACTGTATTCTGAAAGATGCACAGAATTTCATTGTTCAAAAATAAAGAATGCTGTTCTTCTATTGCTATTATCTTTTGGCACAAATTAGAATTGCTGTGAATTGTTAATATGCGGTTAAGAAGAAATAGCAGGCATTTTAAAATGTGTGACACCTGAATTAGGTTTCTTCTACAAAATATATCAAAGCCAAAAACAGACACAGATCAAACTTAAAATATTAAAATAATTCTTGCTAATGTGAACCAAAATGCAGTCCTCTCATATGAATACAGTGGTGCCCCGCATAGCGACGATAATCCGTTCCGGATAAATCATTGCTATCCGGAAACGTTGCTATACGGGGCAAAAAAACCCCATAGGAACGCATTGAAACCCCTTCAATGTGTTCCTATGGGGGATAAACTCACCGCTAAGCGGAAATCCTCCATAGGGCTGCCATTTTTGCCGCCTCGGTAAGGGAGGAAACCGTGCGAAAACGCTGTGAGTGGCCATTTTTTTCTTCCGGCGGCCATTTTGGAACCACCGATCAGCTGTTTTAAAACATCGCAATGCGAAGATTGGTAAGCAAAACGCTTACTGATAATTGGAATGCAATGTTAATTGGTAAGCAAAACACTTACTGATCATCGGAATGCAATGTTATCTCTATTTAAAACATCGCAATGCGATCGCTTTTGTGATCGCAAAATCCGCATTGCTATGTGGATTCGTCGTTAAACAGGGTACTCGTTATGCGAGGCACCACTGTATTTAAAAGGGAGTAAGCAATGTTTGGTTCAGTTGAACGACTGTCTTGGGTAGGGTTGCAGATGGATCTCTGCTGTGATTTCTTTTCTAGAATGGAAAAAATCAGTTTATGTATGAAGATATTTGTTTTAGAACATGCTCCATTCTATTTATCAATCTGATTATTAATATGTAGCTCAACTCTCATGTTTTTCCCCCATGTGGTTTTCAAGCAGTTTTTGCCTTCTGTTTTGTTTAAGGATTGAAACTTACTGCCATAATTGTTCCAGTAATGGTGGTGCTTTTGCTGTTCCTGATATCTGGAATTTGTATCTTTGCTGCCCTGCGAAAGTATGTTATTTACTTTTTTCCCTGTCCTGAGTGGAAAAATATTTTCTTTTTCATGATTCGGGTCATATAAAAGCCTCTTTGGTAGGAGGGAATTCCATAATAAACTTGATGTATAGCAGAATAGAAAAAAATGTCAAGACCAACACACAATATTGTATTTGTTTCTGAGGTACTGCTCATATGGCTTCCAGAAGATGTTTCAAGTGAACAATTAATTCCTAGTGGTTCTAATAGTTTTGTCCATTCTTCCCCCAATTCACTCTGTGCATTCGCTAATGGAGAGTGTTCCTCTTTTTTGGTGAGCTCCCTCTAAGTGCTCAGTAAACTGCAGAGTGTATGAACAGGAGAATGGAGAAGTGTCTGTCTCCCTTCACATCGTGCACCTGTTCAAAAGCACCATCTCAGCATTTTATAGGCAAGGATGCTAGAGCAGCACGACCTGAAAAAATAGTGATATTATGTGCCAATTTGCTTCTTGTCTGAGGGTTTGGGCAGTGGAGAGAATGCGGTTTTCAGGTCTCAGCTGATTATCTGTAACTCAGAGACTCCAAGACAGAGAGGAGGCATGCCAAAAGCAATAAGGTGCCCTACTGATTTGTTAACTCTTACTTGACTAGTATTCTCTCAAAAAGTGTTATTATAACTTTGTGTCTAAGAGGAAACTATCTGGAAAGAGAGACTGTTTTTCAAAAATATGTTCAGTTCTTGGAGGCATAATTTCCTTCTAATAGTCAGGCATTGTTATTTTGAGCAGATTTTTAAAGCATTGTTTTTTGTTGTTTATTGAGTAATTAAATACATGTAGCACTTTTCTTCATGATTTATTTATTGTGTACTACTTACTGTATTTATATACTGCCTCTTCCACAGAACTGAAACTCAAGGCAGCTTACAAAACGTAATACAGTACGTAAAACTTATAAAGCACAGAGGCTAGAATCCTTTGTTTAGTTACACTTGCAGAAGGCAGATGATGTGACTTGCAGTAGCTTTTCACTAGTAATTATCAGGTCACCACTTGGATATTTAGGTACCTGACAAGCCAGCTATCATTCCCATGCCTGAAAATCTAAGTGAGGATGTGTTAATTGCTAGCAGGAAGCTGCAGCAGGTTAACACTTTGTGCTTTCCTCAGGCATAAGTAAGCAACAAAATTTTAGCAAGAGAAACTGAACTGGCAGGCAGATGGCTGCTAGAAAAATCATTGTTGATTAATGTTAGGCCATACTTCATGGTGCCTGATAGTGCCCATGATAACAAAGCTGTGGAAGACGCAGTCCTGAAAAGCCAGCAGAATTTAATTTACTTTGAAAAGTGTCATTGACCTTTTTTTTCATTGTAGGAGAGGAAAGAATGGAGTTGCATACGGGTCTTGCGGCACTGAAAAACCAGGTAAGTGGTAAACCTTTTGCATCTGTTTATCACATTACAAGAATGAGCAAGGCAAAAAAAAAGTTTCCTTCTGATAGAAGACTGCAAGTTTTGATTTTTATGTGTTTGTTCTAGGTCTCTGGAAACAAATCAAGCAACCCTTTGTCAGACATCAGTCTACTGAATTCACCATCAGTTATAACAATGAAAAGGATACACCGCAGAAATTAGACCTGGTCACTAGAGAGATGGCAGGTAATTGCAAACTTGTGAGGAACAAGTTTCAACTCTCCATCCATGAGTGGATCCATGTAATTCACTGTTTTTAAGGAACAGAAATACTTATGAATTGGATGCATTAGGGATATTTGTGTGTCCTTGACTGGGCAGAATTTTTCATATTTCTAATGCATTCATATTTTACCAATTTGCTGTATTTAGGTCGAAGCTCTCCCAGTAGTGCACTCATTAAAGAGCTGCTGGAATTCTGTTTTCTTCTCAACTCACCTGCAAAAAATAACAAAACCCCCAAAACAGTGGTTGTAATGTACACTGTTGCTACAAGAAAAAAATTAATGCACCCAGATAGAGTTCAGGTTTGTTTGTTTGTTTGTTTATATCCCGCCTATCTGGTCAATTACGACCACTCTAGGTGGGGTCTCAAACTCAATTTACCTGGGGGCCGCTGGATTCAGAGGCTGGGTGAAGCTGGGCCGCATCAGATTTTCCACCAAGTGGAGCAAGAGCCCGAGGAAGCCACCCAAGCTGGGTCTCCGAGGAGGAGGAGGAGGGGCGTGCAAGCCCTCATTGCCGGCCACGACCCCCTCCAGCTCCTTCTTCACTACTACCACCACCAGCAGCAGCAGGACGAAGAAGCAGAGAAGGGAGGGAGCGCCGGCGACCGCCTAGCGGAGGGGGGAGGAGGTCACTACATAAAATTTTTAAAAAACCCTCACAGAATCGCCAAGTCCCCATCAGTACCCAAGAAATTAAACAGAACGGGAGCCCCCCCCCCGCACACAAACCACACACAGACACACACAGAGAGACACACACGGAGGTCCGGCAACCTTCCTCTGAGGGCCCCCCCTCAAAAAAAGGCGCACTCAGCAGCAGCAGCTACCCCCACCATGATAGAGGAGCAAACTTTGCGAGGCGAGCTCAGGCAGCCTCCAGAGCCAAGGCAGCTGAAGCAGGACAAGTAGGAGGAGGAAGAAGTACCGCTGGGCACTGAGGCGGCTGCTGGCCGGACTGGTGCTGGGGATGCCAAGAGAGAAAGAGAGCCACTTCCTTGGAAGAGGCGGCAGCAGCAGCTGCTGTTGGCAGCTTGGAGGTGCTGTTTGAGGACGGGCTGGGAGTGAGCTCCGCTCTGCCGGCTCTCCCCCAAGACAGCGCCTCTTGCCCCCTCCATCCGAAATGGCAGCCTGCCCGCCAGTAAACAGGCAGGCTGGCTGGGAGGCTGCAGTTCCGGATGGAGGGTGCAAGAGGCGCTGTCTTGGGAGACAGCCGGCGATCAAGGCAAGGCTTTTTTTGACTCTTGACAGCAGAGGATGCATGGACGCTTCAGGGGGGGCAGGCAAGGCGGGGGCCACAAACTGTCATCCAGCGGGCTGCAAATGGCCACCGGGCCGCATGTTTGAGACCCCTGATTATCGTGCTACACACTGATTAGTCTCAACTAAGCTAGTGGTTGGCATGCACTGTGCACCGAATTTCAAAAGGACTTTTTGTTTTCCTTCCAGATTATCAGCAGCCTCTCATGATAGGAACGGGGACAGTAACCCGGAAGGGATCCACATTCAGACCAGTGGACACAGAGGATGAAAAGAAAGATAGCTCAGAGATGGGGAATCATTACCATTGTCCTCAGAGGGTAAATTATGCACTGCCTTTGACCAATCAAGAGCCTGAATATGCCACTCCCATTGTGGAGCGACATACAGGAAGAGAAAATGCTTTTTCTTCTGAGAACTGCTACAACATTCCCACCGTTTCTTCTGTTCATAAATATTCCGTTTCACTTGGCAATTTCACTGCCTTGTGCAAGACGGATGCTGAGAGTGGAAACTATCAAACACCCCAAAGTCAGAAGGAATACGATAAGCCAAAGAATAATATCCTGCCTATGGTGGACTGTAGCACTGGCTATCAGAAGCCCCAGGCCAGTTCACTGACAAGTGAAGGATACTCAACTCCAAGATACTGCCTGAAACCCATTAATCAGACGGCTGTGACAGCTCTCCTATAACTGAGAAACCAAGTTTAAAATGTGGTGCTGCCTCCTCTTCTACTCACTTTTTGGTAAAGTGCACATGACTCTTTGCCATTCTTGGTGGAGTGGACCTGAGTGAATGCTGTCCATGTCTCTCTCTCTGCACCGTGACAGGCCTTTGCAGTGAGAGGTCTGCAAGCAGTTCGTTCTCTGCAGCTACAATACTGGTGCTCTATTCTAATGTGCAATGTGTACATATTTTTTTATATTTAAGAAAAATAACTTAAAATGTTCCTTTAATTTGTTTTTGTGTCTTTGTGTTGGGGCAGGGCAAGGTGTGGTTAATGAGATGATTTAATTGTTTCATTGATTTCTGATTGAAGGTGATGCCCTGAATTTCAGCCAGTGCGTTTTGCACTCATTACTATTATGTTTCTCATACTGCAATCTGAGCTACACATTTCTTGGAAGTGCTTTCAGACTTAGTGTGCAAAGTTGCATGTCACCAGAGCTATAAATTCTGTTCCCACACATTGCAAATCTGAGACTAACAAAAGCTGAATTGTGACCTATCTAAATTATGCAAAATGAGTGATAGTATTTATTCTTCACATATTTTATTCTGAATTTGCTAGTCAGAAGAGAGGTAAGGCACTGAAACCCCATCTACTAAAACTCTTGTTCATTTATCACTGACGTCTGAAATTGTAGCAGGCTGATATCATTTCAAGCACGTTTTCAGTGTTGCAAGTACTATAAACTTATTTTCAGACAAAAGCTGAGTTTTCCCAGAAGGTAACTCCACACCCAATACGATAACTGCTTTTGTAAACTTTCAGACCATTTGTGTGCATGTCATCATGTCAGTACAATTGACTGTAAGGTAAATTTTTATTTGCTCACTAACCTGATGAATAATTCATTTCCTGTAGTAACTGAAAGCAAAATATTTCTGTATTTCTTTTTAAGGAAATACAGAAGAAAGACCATGCACATCAAGGTGCTAAAGAAACTAAATCAATTTCTGCATCCATTTTTTAATTAAAAGGATTTATTCTCTTGCCTCATACCTGGAAATGCAGATGATTTCAAAAGTGGGAAGATGTAACTGAAGGAAAAGCCTGAGAATGCAAATTTACATTTCCAGATCTGTGTTTTGAAAAATGGCACACAGCCTAAGGTTACAGCCCCTTATTAAAGAATAAGCTCAATTGACTATGAAGCATACTTCTAAGTAAAATGTTCTTTATATTTATAAATTGTAATATCTGTCTGTCTTTGAAAAATGTGGTTCAGTGATGCTAAACATGCTTTGCATGTAAGACGTTCCAGTTGCAAAATGTAGCATCTGCAGCTTAAAAACATATTCAGGTTATGAAAAGTCAGGTTATGGAAAGAAGCTCTGTCTGAAATCCTTGAGAATCATTGTCATGCAAAGCAGACAAATACTAGGTTGGACAGGTAAGCAGTTTGACCTGGTATGAAGCATTGTCCTGTATTCAGATCAAGCTGCTGCAAAATATAATACACTGCATGTTTTTCTTTCACTTTATGGATACACACGATTCTTACCAATTACTGTTTATTTTCTTGCAGTACTCTAGTACTTCATACTCTTTTTGTTTGCGCTTATTAAGCAGGTGCTCATGCCCCATTAAGGCACAGTTCATGTTTGTCTTTCTCCATAAATAGTCTTCTTCATATTTTGAGAAAACCACTGATTTTAGAGGTTTTGTTTTTCCAAGGGGAAATCAGAAGTCCTTTGAAGCAGAAAAAAAATTCCACAGCAGATTGAAATGTGGTGGTATAGGTAGCACCATGTTACAATTGGGGTTTCTTAAGTGCTGAAAGACATGTATTTGTCATAGGTCTTTCACTTAGCTACATATCTGGTATTCCAGAAAGCCTTGTTTTGTCATTGCTGATTGGAAGGTGAACACTTACTTACTTAATTTGCAAGTTCAATTGTCCAGGATTCTGTTATTGAGGGAATTGTATTGTTGGAGAAAAAACAGCCTATTGGTTTCCAAATGTTTGGTTTGACCTGCAGAGCGTATGTTTGGTAGATTTAAAAATTTGCATAACCCATTTAATAGGCTTTCAAGAATAATAGTTGGAAAAGACCATAGACAGCAAGTTGCCATCAGACTAGATAGTACCAAGTAAGCTTATTTTTTAATCTATTGTAAAAACAAGCATTGTATAACCAACAACAGAATAGCCCCCCAACCGCCAAAATACACATCTTTAATTAGCCAGATTAGCTAAATATGTTTTTTTAATTACTCAGACAGGGAATGTACACTCTACATCTACAGGGGAAGAATAGCAAATTAAAACACAGCCTCTTCTCCCAAAACTGAATGCAAGAAAGTAAATAAAGGCTATATAGCCTCTTCTTTGAATCCAGCATAGCAGCATGCAGGGAGCAAAAATGATCCCCAAATAAATCACCCAGAATCAAGAGAAAAAGGAAAAGACCCAGAGGCACAGGCTGCTGGGCAAAAGAGTGGAAGAAGATAGAAGGGGGTTTGCACAAGGAAGGAGTGGAGTGAAACAAAGAAAGCACTCCTATTGAGTTCCAACTAATCCAGGTGCTATTAGAACTTCAGAATTCCTACCACTTCCCCCAGATGTTCTCCTTGACTACTAAAAGGGACCTCCTGAGGCTATTTGATGGAAAACTCCCTAGGTGATTTGCCAGACACCTGATTTTAAAAAGGTCAAATGAAATAGGGGAATGGGGGGGAGTTCACATACCCCTCTGTCATGGAAATGACTCATTCACTTGTAACAAGCTCTTTTTCATAGATCAACAAGAGCCCAGAAATGGGGATGGGTAGGGAAGAGTCTCTTGTGTTTATTTTTCCTTTCATTTGCAAACTAAAGTCCCAACCCCACTGGCATTAGGTACCATAAGGGCAAGTTCAGGCCCAGCAGATTAAACAGGCCAAGACATGCATATACTGATACTAACAAAGCAGGACAGAAACCAGTCATTGGTAGCTAGTAGACCGTATAAGAAACATTGTCTGGTAGGTCTGGATGCATACCTTGTTGCCTTTTTGTCAAACAGGAAGCTCACCTAATCTTTGAAATACTGTTAAGTGCTGTATTTGAAGCAGAAAGATTGCGCCCCACCCAATCAAGGGAACTACCAGTCCCAAACAATGCAAAGTAATTCGTTCTATTCAGCACAGTTAGAATGCTCTTGTAGCTGATCTCATGATGGTAGTAGGCAGGCGAGCTGCTCTTAAATGAAACAGGCACTATTTCATTGACAAGTTGATCTTAGCGCTGAGAAAATAAATGAAAGCACTTCACTGACATATGAAGTCTGGGTAAATTGATTCAAATTTTATGAATGGCAATGTAGGTGCTCTTCCCTGATATGCTTCTTCAAATGATGAATAAAAATATTAAGAGTGCAACAGGACGTGATCAAAGGCACAGATTTAGGGGTCACAGAAAATGACCACCACGGTAATATTAGTCAATGCACAGCAGTGTGTGTATGGTTTTCCAATTGTAATTGGGTGGCTAACTGATTCTGACATCTCATACTGTATAATCATTGGGAGCTAATTAGGTTAAAGACCTAATGTCCCCCGGTCAAATCCTATGCAGCAGAACTCTTTGCTTTAGCTGTGTGGGTAATTCTGCACTTTGTTCTGCATCAAAGTGCTCTCCTGCTCTCTGTTCCTACAAATGGGGATTAGCACATAGTTTTGAGACAAGGAGTGATGTTAGTTAGTTTGCCTGGGGAAATAGTGTGTCTAGTCTAGATTTCCATTGTACAGTATTGTGAATTAAAACTGGGACTATATTTATACATGTTACATAATCCAGTGTGAAGACAGGGAAGGAACGAGACTTACAACTGAATATTGAACCTGGATCTCAGCAAAAGTACTAAACATGCATCTGCCATAGCCAGACACTGCTAAGAAGCAGGAACCCAGTTAATATTAATGACTGGTTTTGTTTTGTTTTGTTTTTTGAACTCAACAACTTTTGAAAAAGTTCCCACTTTGGTCTGCTAGTTAGTTAGTCATCTTGTTAAAAGTGATATCCTTTATAAAGATTATTATCTTTATTAATGTTCATTGGCATTGCTCACAGTCTCTAGAGGTGGGGAATTTATAGAGGTCTTTTGAACTGGGATACCATGAGGCGTATGTTCATAAGGAAGTTTGAGAAGCCGCACAGAATTTCACAATGTGAAATTGTGAAATTTCTTCTTTTGCTGTAATCTGGATATTAAGGGAAAGTAGCAGAGACTAATGAAGAAAGAAATATACAAGAATTTAGGTTTAGGTGTGCCGAGTTGTACCAATGGCCCATTTAACTCCATCCTATCTGGACTGACAGTGATTTGCCGTGGTGCTCTGCATGATCTTCCCAGCTCTGCTGAGATAGTTTCAAGAATCATGTCATGTACATTTTATCTGGAAAGCTATAGTCAAAGTAAAGGTAAAGTTTCAGCTACTGTACTGGTATATCTACCCTACAGGATCTTTCTTTTCCCCTCCATTAGAGCATATCCCACCAAAGTAACATCATGCATGAAGCAGCCCTTTAATTGGTCCAGGATTGACCTTGAAACTGCATGCACAACAATTCATAGCTGTCACAGCAGTTATGACCATGGACTTCCTTGATAATTATGCCTAGAAAATCTATGTTTACAGGGGTCTAGGGATTTATAAAGCATTCCATGAAATAGTACAAAGATGGTTGTTGTGGGTTTTTCGGGCTGTTTGGCCGTGTTCTGAAGGTTGTTCTTCCTAATGTTTCACCAGTCTCTGTGGCCGGCATCTTCAGAGGACAGGAGTCAGAATTCTTCTCTGTGCTCTGGTGTAGTTTTGTGGGATAGTTGAGTATTTATAGCCATGGGATCAGCTTTTGTCCTTTTCAGGAGATTGGGTGATGTACAAAGATGTTTGCTCCCAAGAAATTTTGATGATGTAATTGTGGTGCCAAGCTAAGACAACGGTCAAAGTGCTTTTACCAATAGCCAGTAAGAGAGATTTTAGTGATCTACAGCTATGTAGAATGTGATGTATTCAATGTTCCCAAAGCACAAATAACTAAAGGGTTTTAAAATTATATCTCAATAGATTTTTAGTAGAGTGGTGTGTGTACTTTGACCAAATCCTAAATTCCAAAAGAATTCCGAAAGAAATTCTCCCCAGAGAGGGAGCCAGGCAGATCTCTACGAGCAAGTTGTTCCAGAGGCAAGGGGCCACTGCCAAGAAGGCCCAGTTCCTCGTTCTTTCCTTCCGGACCTCCCTCGGCAT